ATTGGAATCGAACACCGTAAGTTATTTTTTGAAGGAAAGTATGAAAAGTATTTGAAATATGCGTCGAGTATGAGAATGAATGGACATTTGCATTTGTCTGCTTGTGTATTAGTACTTCATAAACAATTCCCAGTGCATGCAAGAGAGAAAAATGAGAGTAGAAATCTGGTCGATCGGATTGCGTCATTTCGTTCGTGCTTTTCATTTCTCATCAGTAATAAGCAGAGAACAAATGCGAGAAGAAGAAAAACGATTGATTCTTTTAATCAACACTAAACCTGTCAAGTTATTTGTTAGAGTAACGAGATTTGATTTGACACCATGCCTTTGTTTTCACTAATGTGAACATTTCATCAGTTGCAATTCGTTTTCATCCGCATATTTCCACGTTGAAGTACACTGTTTAGCGAGAAAAAAAAAACAGAGAGAGTCGTAGAAAAATTGATAACATATTTCATTCAATGTGCGCGTGTATGTATGAGTACTGTTGTTTCACAGTCGGCGTCGGCGGCACCATGTGAGAGAAGATATCGTCTTACCAGTTAGCGGATAACGAGCGTCACATGTCGAAAATCAATCAATGAAGAGTAGAAAAGTTGCGAAAAAAGACTTTTGCTTTCTTTTTCATCTAACCACAAAAAAATAACAACAAGCCTTGAATCTTTTGCTTTGTCTATCTTCTATTCTAGACAATAAGAAATCGATCTAGGACTCGAACGAAATTATGGCAGCAACAAATGAGCAACTTCAACAAGCAGTTGAAAGTTTCTTTCTTCTGTTCAATGGCGTGGTCATCTTTTGTAAGTTGTTATACATTGATCTGATCTCTATTGAACATCTTTGTGTAGTAATGAGCTTTGGTTATACGCTCATTGAATCAGGCGGTGTACGAAGTCAAAATGCAGGTCATAGTCTATTTAAAACTCTTCTTATTCTTAGTAAGTTGAACTGAATAAGTGTGGTCGGGGTTGATTTGGAGTTGTTATGTTTCAGTTACATCGGCATTGGCTTTTTGGATAACGGGTTATGCATTCGCATTTGGTGGAAACGGAAACGTTTTATTAGGTACACGCTTTTGGGCAAGTGAAGGTCTTGGCGCTCGTTATCTCCATCCCGGAGTAGAAAATTACACGACGTCGAATAACGTTCTAAAATTGAATAATCAAGATCCATATATAAATTATTTTTATAATTATATGTTGGCATTTCTTGTAACAAACATAGCAGCTAGTGCATTTGCCGAGCGTTGTCGAGTACCAGTTTATGTACTTTTCTCGATCGTTATGTCTGGTAGGTTACTCGAATGAATCGAACAACGTTCTAGTTGAGTGTTAAATATAGGATTCGTCTATCCATTCCTTGCGCACTGGATGTGGGGTCAAAATGGTTGGCTTGGTGCGATTGTCGGTGCACGCGTATGTTATGTTTAACATGTTGAACAGATCTCTTATTAGTTTGCTCTCTAAGGACTATGGTGGTAGTGCAATCATTTATTTAACAGCTGGTGTTGCTGCTTTAATCGGAACAATCTTTCTCGGGCCGCGTTTTGGTCGATTCGAACCGCGTACATTACCTTTGTTTGGTCATAGCATTCCGGTACGAAAGAAAACATGAAAATAAATAAGCATAGTTGCTATCGATGTTTGTATTAGGTTACATCTGTTGGTGCAATTCTCGTTGCATTCGGTTTCTTTGTACTCAATTCAGGAGCTGACCATCGTATTACAGGAAAAGCTTATGGCGATCGAGTTGGACATGGACTCGTCAATACACTTCTATCAGGAGCTGCATCGGGTGCAACTTATTATCTTTTACAACGTGTCATTGAAAGTACGCAACGATGTTTGTCGAGAAAACGATTTTGATAGGACATTTCATTTAAAAATTAGGCATGGGAGAACAAGCTCGCCATTTGAAACGACGTGTCTTTTTATCTACGGTTAATTCAATTCTTGCCGGAATGGTTGCTGTTGCTGGTGGAGCTGTGGCTTATAATCCTTGGTCGGCTGTCATCATCGGAGCTATTGCTGCATTAAGTTTCTTGTTATGGAGTAAATTATTAATTAAATTTCAAGTCGATGATCCTGTCGAAACTGCTGCAGGTAGGAGTGACTTAGTCCACGAAAAGTGTGAAATCGAGGTGAATGTGTCTTCTTTGCAGTTCATATTGGTGGTGGTTTATGGGGCATCTTTGCAGTTCCGATCTTTCGCCGAACAGTTGGACCAAATATCAATGGAGGATTTGTTGAGGATGTCTTTAATTCGATTATCTATCGAATTAGTGCTGGAGAAAGCTGGCGGGTAAAGAACAAGAGTTATTTTTTTCATTGATGATCTCTCATCGGAAAATTTTCTTATTCAAGGGTCTACTTAATTCATTGTGTACGGCTGCAGTTGTCATGGCATGGACCGCTGTCTTCATTGCTCTTCTATTTCTTCTACTTAAACTACTTAATTTATTAAAAGTATCCAAAGAGGAAGAATTACGAGGTAATTCTATAGGCGAAGAACTTTCAGTCACAATCAAGTATTCCTTTCTTTTAGGCATTGACTTATTCCAACATGGCGAACCGGCATACGCACTTCGCATCTACTGCGCTGCATGTGGAGAACAATTACAAGGCAAGACTATTGAACAAGAAGCAGCTGCTGGAGGTGTTCGTACTAATTTTCCAACGATCGTCACTGATGCTGAAGGAGGTATGTACTGAAAACATCTTTGTAAGAAGTTTCAAGAATCTAACTAAGAGCCGAAGAACGCTAATTGTATTTGTTCAATTACAACTGATTATTTTCAGCATATGTGCTCGATGATATGCGTGGGTAAGAAAAAGCAAAAGAACTCAAATTTCACCACATTGCACAATGAAAACAGACGATCATTAACTTCTCAACAAATGCTCTTTCACATCTTGAGCGCTTATTTTTCTTTGCTTTGCCAAAAGAGAAAAACAAAACAAATGAATCATTTGATCTTCTTCCTCTTCGCAACTTTCTTTCTCGCTCAAACAAATCCAATAAAATCTTCTTTCGTTTTAGCCATCGTCCCTATCGAATATTTCAGTGAACGAAATGGATCGACCGGTAGTGCAAATGGCACCAAAGTCAAATCCGTAAACGAAGACAATCGTGTTTAATTCAGTTCTCCTTTCCTTTTCTCTCTTTTCATTCAACATCTTAATCAAAAATACACGCATTTAGGAAAATCATCAATAGTATGAAGAATGATCATTAAGCAATATATATGTTCCCCGATTTCTTCCAGTATAAGGCGCTTAAAAAACAAAAGATGTTCTTCTCTTCTCCCCTCTCATATCTGTATGTAGATTAGTTTCAATATCTCGTTCTTTTTTTGTCTATGTGTTTAATCTTCGAAGAGCTTTACAGTATTTCTCTTTTTTCTTCTTCTTGCTGTTGTGTTCTTTATTTTTTTTCGCTGTCTCTCTCTCCTTCTCTGACAATGACAAATTCAGAGACTTTTCGTCATTGAAGAAGAATCTAACTCTACTTCTTCTTCTCGTTCGAGTTACGACACATTCCCGGACATAAATTTCTAATCAGTCGTACATATCCTTCGTTCTCTCTCTATATACTCATAACATCAGCCTTACTTATCTTATCTTCTTTTCTTTTTCTTTTTCGTTTGTTCTTGCTCAAGTTTCGCGTTTATGTGTGTTTTGATGTTTGAGCGTGCTCATTGCATTCGAATTTGTCTCTTCTTGTTGATGTTGCTTCGTGTTCGCGATTAGTGTTTAAGCAAATAAAATATGTCGAAATCGTCTTGTGAATGGTGAGCGTACTTCTCAATTCTATCGAATCTTCGTGCTCATGGCGGGAAATCTATGAGATGAGAATGTACAAATGTTGTTGTTTTCAAACTTGTAGCTTGAAATATAAATCAACAGATGAAGCGTTCGACAAACTGAAATTATTGACAGTGCGATGCACTCCGAGTATTCATGTATTTGCCGAAAGCAATCGGAAATGTACCCAAATAATTGTATTAAGTAGTGACAGATACAATTTACTCTCCTTCATAACTGTTTTTGCATAAATATTTGCTCGCGAGCTGATCATTCTTATGCTTGTGTGCAGCAACGATGATACAAAGAGAAATGACATCTGCACTATTAGTAATCGAATGAAAGAATATGTTAAGATGTAGGATATCTTGGACACGGATTAGATCTTTCCTGGAACGGATTCGCACACGAGTGTATTCCAACTCTGTTGATGTTCGTTCCAAGTAGAACTCGGTGAGCTCTATCTGTTCCAAAAAGAATATCCCCGGAAATATGCTTCCTTACCCACAAGTAGCGCTCATCCATTGGATTCGCTCACCCTTTTCTGAAAGACTTAGACAAGTATTAGATAAAGCTCTCACACAGATCTCGTTCTCATTGGCTTCAATTTACATCACTTTTATACAATTTCTTCCCTTTTAATCCTGTTCTACTTATTCATATCAAACTATATTCAGTTCATTTGTTCAAATATGTAAGCAAAACGAACACTGTTCCTAAATATTTATTCATCGACTCTCTCTCTCTCTCTCTCTCTCTCGACTATTCAAAATCAAAAACGAATTTCCTTTCACTTGTTTTATCACTTCTCAACAACTCGAATGAACGCCTAGTCGTTCATCGGCCTCCCTCCGATCAGCCACTCACGGCTAGCCGTTACATGTACATTTTCATTCTTTCATCTAGTTTAAAATCACTTTCGGAGCGAATCAACCTATTTTCTTCCATTCCTTCTTAAAAATAACCACCTGCGTTATTGTGACCGAAAAATTTTGCAATCCTTAATTAGTAATTAGGTTATTGAGATTTCGAAAAACTGACACCGGATTCAAGATCCTCGACCTCGATTACCCTTCGGTTAACCCTTGCTCGTAAACAGTATAGATTCTTATTCTATCAGTGTAAAGTATGTGAACGGACAAACGAACGAACTTTAACTCAAATTCTGTGTATACCCTCCTTTCAGTAGAGGGAACAATGCCTGAATCAAAATTGAAAGTATATGTAAAAGCACGTTTCGATGTTATTTGGGAAAAGCTTTTAGATAAAATTTATCATCCTGAAAAATATGTTGATAGAATAAAAAATGTTGATATTTTAGAAGATGCACCTGATCATGTTTTAAGACTTATTCATTTTAATGATTCAACATGGCAAGAGTTAAAAGAATTAATTGTTCATGATAAATCGACTGGTATTATTGTTTATCGTTTAGTTGATCATCCATATTTTGAAGGTGAAACAGTAAATATTTGTGGAGCAACAAATGAAATTTATCATTTAGAATTAGATTATGAAATTAATTGGAAATTAAAAAATTCAGCTAATCATGAATCTAATGAACAAAAAGATATTTCACAAAAAGCATTACAAATAGCCATACAACAAATGAAAGTTGTTTCAGAAGAAGCAGAAGCTGTTTACAGACAAAATTAATTTCTATTACTCAAATTACTAGTCATTAGGGTTTTTTACCACCTCAAGTTTATCTTTTTTTCTTCAAATATTTCTCTTTGTTTTTTTTTTTGTTAAATAATAAAGAAATCTTTATTCTTGATTGACGTGAATTTGATCAATATTATTTAATCATCGATATTTTATGAAAGAAAATGAATGATGTCATCTATCGTTTATAAATACTCAAAATCTTTTCTTGAATTTAATGTGAGAATAATATGACTACTAGATTTTTTGATTGATTTAAGAAACAGTTCCTCATTTGAAAATTATTTCTGAATAAGTTCCTATATGGATCAATAATATTTAACCGAAAGAAGTAAATGACATCTTTCGTTACAATATTTTGTCTATCATCGGTCAAAAAGTAAAATACGTACTCTTTGACTTATTTGTAGATATAATGGAACAAAATCTTTCATTTCTAAATCGAAAAACACGTAAAAGAAAGAATGACATCCGATGGAAGTTTATGTGAAATTTTAGGCATATCATCAGCTGAACGTGTTAAAGCACATTATGAAGGTGCAAAAACTCATTTATTAAATTCAAATGAAATTTTACATCGTTCATCACATGAACAAGATTTATATTCTCAATAAAAATCACATGGTGAACCATATGGCCCAACTATTTATTCATCAAAAGATGAACATTATACAGAAGTATGTCCATCATTAAAAAAGTTTATTCATAATGAATTAAAAGTAGATTTAAAATATTTTGGTTATATGGAATATGCATATGGATTAGAAGAACATCGTGAACATTTTCGTAAAATTATTATTCGTGATCATCAATTAGATGATTATCTTATTAAAGATAATAATTAATTTCAAGTTGGATGTTTTCTGAATTCAACTAGATTAATTATATTCGATTTAGGTAGATTTATTATAAAAGAATTAGAAAATCAAAGATAATCAATTCTTTGTAGATTCCTTTTTTCTTTTCATTAAAAAAATTCACATTTAATTTATTCTTTCTTAAATATTATTTGAACCTAGATGGGATTATACTAGTGTTTATCAAAGTCTTCAAATGAAAGTTCTTCATTTACCATTAACACCTGAAAATGAATTTGAATCAAATTTAAAAGAATGAACAAAATCCATCTCATATTGATTTAGTTATTATTAATACACAACGCATAATCCAATGTTACTTTGAAATATTTTTTTAACTTTTCTTTAACCAAATTAATTTGTATTTTCAATTTTAGAGGAAAACAATGGTCAATTGATATTGGAATAAAATATTCAAGTTATTTATTAATTGATGATGCTTATTATTGTGTTAATGATCCCCATATAAAAGTAATAAATACATTAAAAAAATCAAATGATAATAATAGAATCAACTAAAACTGTCTGATTTATTGATCACCGATTCAACTAGTGAAAGTGATAGTAGTACATCATCACTTGGATATAACAGTCCTGTTCCATCTAGTCGTGCTACAAAAATGAAAGTCATTAATACAAAAAAGGAACAACAAGCAATTAAACACAAAATAAATCGAAAAATTCGTTATTTTTTAGGACAATATTGTCATATTGATCCAAGTAAGTTTTTCTTCATTGATGTGAGTATAATTCTATATTTAATTTTTAGTCAATAGTATCCGTGTCATAGGAGAAATACATCGTCAGCTAAATATTGAAATATTTGAATTATATAACATGTTGAAATGGACAAGAAGAAAATTAAATATTGAAATAAACATTAGCATGAAGCTAATGAATTTATTATTGATAATGAATTGGAAATTAGAATTAAGTCGAAAAAACTAATATATTCGTTATTATCTTGAAAATTATTTTGATTATCCATCAAAATCAATTTGTACAGGTCCAGCAGCATCATATTTATTATTTGAAGTTTTATTAATTTATTGTGAAAATAAAAATAAAAAACCAAGTGAAATATCGAAAGAATTTTCTGATGATTTATATTTTGCAACTGGTGTTATGTTAAGTGGAAATTTATTTTCACATTCAAATTTATGTTCATATGTTCGATTACATTCAGGTTCTGATCCATTAAATTTAGAAGAAATTATTCATAGATTTCAAAATGCCAAATTTCATTATGTGGACGATTAAAAAAGAACATTAAGTGATAAGACCATTTCAGTATCATTCGAACCATTAATTAAAATCAAATCAAAGAAAGAAAATAATTTATGAAAAAAACAAGTTTTATTTATGAAATCAAATCTGTTAGTGAAATGAAACAAAAAAAGCTGAATTGATCTTTTTTGTTTATTTTAAATGAGATTAATTGTTTAAACTGATTTCATAAAAGTACCAAATTCACTTTTACCAATTCTACCATCATGGTTAAAATCAGCATAATCAAACATAGTACCAACTGGATCATATTCGTTACTTTTTCTTGCAACATTAGGTGCATCAATACCAACATCAGGTCCAAGACCATATTTGTGTCCTTCTTGACTAGGTGCACCACTTGTGAATTTTTCATATTCAATTGGATTCGATGCAACACCAGCTACAGCTACGTCAAGACCAACTGGATATGTCGCTATTTCTCCTGCACCTGTTGACTTTAAAAAAATTATAAAGAAAAAATATTTTTGTTTTATTCAAAAAAGAAAAATTACTTGAAAAGCTTGAATATCTTGTTGAAGATCATCCTACATTATAGAAAAAAAATGACACAAAAATGCATAAACATAATTTCTAGCGATCTTCTTCCTTACTTCAGTGTTGTATGCCATTTGTTAAAGGTTCTCTAATGACATCATATCATCATCATTAGTATCAAATGTACCTATAAAGAGAAAATAGAAAAAAAGTTTTTTTGTCGATATTATTTTTACTCACAATCATTTAACCATTGTTTAATATAATTATTTTTATTTACATCGATTTCCACAAAATGTATTTGCCGTCTTGGTATTGGTAAAGAAGAGTTTGAAGAAGATCTATCTTCATCTTTGTTAACATCATCATTACTATTGTATGCTGGTAAAGGATGTGATTGTTGCAGCATTCTCATTTGTTCTTCATTTTCTTCATTATGAATTTGAAGAAGAATTGAATAAATGTATTGTAATTCTTCTGTAGGAAAACATTCATTAGATTGTTTATATGGACTTGTATCTTCATCCATAGTAGGTATTAATACCAAATATGTGTTAATGGTTATTAATGGTGTTTCTTTTCCCGCAGCCTTTATTGTCCTTCTATTACCTAATGGTTCTTTATCATGCACAGCTATAAGTCGTTTTAAAACATAATCACGTGGTAAATGATCCATAAAATGATTATTAACATCGGTAACATCAACACCATCGAATCGAGACATGACTAAAACCTGTACAAAAGGCGAAGTTCGCCAAATCAGACATGGTCTTGGTTTTGCTTTGTTACTGGAACTTTTCGATGATGTTGATGATAATGCAGAAGCTTGAGAACCAGCTTTTACACCAAATAATTTTGCTACACTAATATGACGAGAATGAATTTGACCAATTGCTGGAAGCACTACTGTTTCACCAACTATAATAATCATAGATCATATATTTAATTAAATCAATGTTTGACATACCATTGCTATTCGACATAATATATAAATTAATAATGTTCAATCAGATTTACTATACATATATCAGCATGGATAAAAATAATTCATTATGAACATTCATAGATAGAATAGAAATAGAATAGAAGAAAAGTACTGTAACGATAATGATATCGTTCATCTCTTTCTGTTCTTTATTCTCTCATCTCTATATCATACCATCTCCGGGTCATATCTCTCTTTCCTCTTCTCTATATAAGCGCGTGTCTTATTGTGAAAGAGACACATTCTGGTCATGTAGAGTAGTCAATAAACATCTATACCGTGAGAAGTGGTCAGCTACTCAACCAGTTTGTTATTACAAGTACCAATAGAAATCAAAAGATAGATGTTACTAGATTTAGAATTATTTTTATTTAAATAAATTCTATTTTTAACAATCATAAATAAGAATAAAATACAAAGGATGATTTTAACAGATAACAAGATAATAATACAAGGGGGAAAGTACGGAATCCTGGAACCCTGAATTCTATCCGATTCTAGTGATTCCAAGATTCCGTACTTTTCCCTTTGCAGATATCTATAGATACATATTCTGTTATGATTAGTATGAAATTTGAAAACTTTTTCATTTAGTTTTTTTTAATTAAATATTTAGAAATGAATGATATATATAATACACTTCATATGAACTCTTATTTAAAAAAAATTTTTTCTTCTCCATTTGTTACTTAATAACTTTAATAACATTTGGTCTTCGTTTAACTAAAAAAGAATTATATAAAGAATCATTGAAAGAAGAGCAAAATAAAAGAAAATAAATTCAAAACCAAAACGCCATTGAACTTTTGTTGAAAATGTTCCACTTTTTTTATTTAATCGCTATATTTATCAACAGATCTTGAGGGTGAGGGTGAGGGTGTGGTTGAACTACCATAATCGATTTCGAACGTATTACGGTTCGTTTTCAAATGGTTTATACTTAAAAATGATCAAAAAACATTATTTTACTAAGAAAATAATATCAAAATATCTTTATATTCTGTTTCCTCAGCGACACTCATACTCTTTTGATTGAACAACACTTCAAAGTCACTCGAAGACTGGAAACTCAACAGAACTACAACTTGATGACACTTCTCGGAATTTTGCGATCCAAATTTTTCTCACCGCTCTGACAGCTATCTACTAATTTGAACTCACAGATTTATAGAATGACCCCTTGTGGAGATCATGAATGCGTAATTAACAATCGATAGAAAACAGAAAACCGGTAAGAAGAAACAAACCTTACATATCTGTTCAGCTTAGTCAACAAACGACAAAGAAACCTGCTTATTGTTCCGACTGTCTTTCGATGAACAGTATTGACTTATATTTTTTCTTTTTCTTCAGTAGAATCAGTCAATCACGTAAGCGTTATCTATATATTGAAACAACGCTTTTTGTCGATGAGAAAAACGTTTTCATATCTTCGAGGCGCGCTCGATCGCTGTGATAACAGAAAAAAACACTTTTTTCGACGAAGTTCCCGTTCGGAATTCATTCAGGAAACGACATTGTGCCGCTTTAACAAACTTTTTTCTCTCCTATTCACAAAAAAAATGCGCATTTCTCACGTCGTCGATATTTTCCCGCCTAAACAATAGTTTTTCGAGGTGACCTTGAAACGGTCGATTGAAATGTATGTGATACTATTGGCACTTCCTGAACTTTACTGAACAAATCTCGCTCGCCATTTTTTTAATGTGTACGACTGACAGAGCCTATTGAGAATATTCCTCTTCTTTCGATCTTTTGCCGACATTCAATTAATACAAGAAGCCGAAGCGACGAACTAAAAAATACGACCGTCATCAAACAATAAAGTCGATTCCGCTTTTGTATTTTTCTTGAAAACACAATCGTAAGCTTTAATGTTGTTGTTTTATCGTCTATTGGAATTTCCTTGTTCGCTTCATTAATCAACAAATAGACATCTGAGACGAGAGAAGAAAAATCGATCGTCATCGATCGATTTCAAAAGTTTTTTGTGCACTGACCGATCTACAATATAAATCATCGAAGAAAACCCGCCGTCTAAGATGTCTGTATAGCAAATACAGGAAACGGATGTAAAGCACGTTCTCTTAGTTGACATTATGTTCCCTATTTTTATTATTAAAGTCATATAAAATCGTTTTCATTTCCGTCAATTGTACGCATGATATGCATGGATGCATTTTTTGTCAGGTTGGAAGAAAGAGCAACTGATGTGCCTTTCTAATTGTGTCAGTGAACCTTGTGTTTATTATATTTAGGAAGAAAACTGGAGTTCCGGTGAACTGTTCACGTTCAAACAACCGGAAATATGTTATTTAAGTAGTCAGTGATGTTCATGTAATATGATGCCACTCTTTCTTATTCATTAACATAAGTTTGAAGTTTAGAAGGTAAGAGAAAGCAGAAAGCCTTCATGTACTTAAAGATAATGTAGGTAAGTTTTATTCATACGAACAAAGCAGAGGTCACTTTTCTTATGTGACGTAGAAGTGATGATTTCATTCCTCTTCTTTTCATCTGACATAATTAAATCCACTCAGAGCTGTTATATATACATGTTACATTTCTCTTTCTTCTTGTTCAGTTAGCAAGATTTGAATAAATGAAATTAAATCGTGTGAAAGAGGAATGAGAGAATTGCCTCGGATCTTTGTAAAATAAAGTTGATAATGCGTAACATGACGGACATCACGTTGTAAGTTCAATGCCAATTTCTTCTGCGCGCGTTTTTTTTATTCTCTCCCCCCTCTTTCTCTCGTATTGTTCTCTTTACCAGCGAGTACTTTAGCATTCATTCTTTCATTTTTACTACAATGTTTCTAATGTGTCTATAGATCTATATGAGTAGTGTTGTTCAAACATCGGTCGTAGCGAGTAGAACATCCACAAAAGAGAGATAGAGAGAGACTACTGTTGAATTTCGAGCAAGTGTAATATTGTTCATAGACTCTTAGATTGAATAGTCATCGTCAGTAGCAAATGAATCTGACGAGTATGTTGATGTCTTTCCTTCGCAGGCGGATTTAGTTCGGCTTTGCCAATTTTTTCCTTCTCGTCTAACCACTCGAAATGTAGAAAGATGAAAATCTGTTCGAAAGGATTATTGCCTATCACATATGACAGAAAAAAAAAACTTGATTCAACGGATTGATTGCGCACTCGAAGTCAGCATTGGATTGAGCGATGTTTACATTAGAAGCTTTCTTTCTCTTCGCTTCCATTTTTTTTCTTTGTATTTCGAAGATCAGTTTAGCAGATTGCGTCATGATTAGAGAATATTATACTGTCGAGGAATCATCAGTTGCTTTTCCGTTAGTCTACTTTTACTTTATCTAAATAGCATTATGTGTAAAATTTCTCTCCTTCCTTTTCTGTCTGTACACGATCAATACACACCAATCACACTCTAACGAATCCTTTCAATCATGTTACTCGTACCAATTGTTTTCTTTGCAATTTTATTCTCCCATATCTTGTGCCATGTTTCAGTATGTATATATCTAACGGTTTGTTCCAAATAGTAACTAGAGAGACAATGATCCAGTCTAAATAAACATCAGTTTGATACTAAAAAAGTAGATGATACTAAGAAAATAGAGAATACAAACTCTTCGAATCTCCCGTCCGAATGTGTGTTATTCTTTCAGATGTATCAATACATTACTCTCAAGTAGATAGACAACCTATGAAATCGTTCACTCTCACATAAGATGAGAATTGCGTGATTATTGTAATGAATCGAGCCGAAAAGAAACACATGATAAGGCATGCGTATACATGACTGGTTGGGAAAGCTCGTTAGGCTACTGATGAAGATAAGAATCACCCAGTCGATGTACATTCTCCAAAGAAAACTTTATGAAATCTATCTATCAACGCATGTTCTTAATTGACTTGTTCGATGATTTTGTCTGACAAGTGTTCAGGTGTATTAGATAATAATCATTCTTTTTCTATCCGAGAGAAATTCTCTCATTTTCCTCGCTCTCTCTCTTTCTTCGAACTTATTCTCTCGCATTACTCCAAAACACAAACAACGCCGAGATTAACTTCTTTTCTTTTCTTCGAGATGAAATCCATCTGATAAACTCAGTTGAAAAGAAGCAAAACTATGAATGATTAAATCCTTATCATTTATTTAATGGAATCGAAACAGCAGACGATGCTCGTCTGGCAAACATTTGTTTGTCTTCTATATTTCATTGTATTTTGTAAGTATAAGTATTCTTTTTTCACATGTAAAACGCTTCAGGGCAATGTATTTTCAGTTAATGGTATATCAGCAAACACGGAACCGGAGATCGTTTCAACTGAAAATGAAATTATTACTTATACTAATCATACAGCTAAGCTTTCTTGTATAATTCGAAATAGAAACCGACAGCACGTAAGAACAAAATTTTGTTTTCCCTAAATCGCAATCTTTTCTCTTAGGTTACGTGGTCCCGTGTTACTTATGTAAATGAAAGTCGAAAAATTACCGATCTTTTGTATGTAGATTTACTTAAATACACGCCGCTTAGTCGCTACCATTTAACACAATTAGTTGACCCTGAAAATCGAGAATTCTGGAATTTAGAAATTCGTCAAGTGCATTCAACTGATCAAGGTTATTATAGTTGCGTTGTGTCTTCGTTGAAACCCATTTCGAAAGTATTCCATATCCGAGTTATCGGTAAAACGTTGACTTTAATGTAATGTTTGCTTTAATCTATTTGATTATTCATAGAAAATCCACGTAATCTTTCTCTTGCGCTCCGCTCGACGATGGATAATCAGCAGCAAGGCAAAGAACAAACTAACTCCGCATTATCATTGGTTCCAATGTCACTAGCGACGATTTCGTCCTTCGTCTTCATTCTTATGAACTTGTGAATAGAATTCGATAAAAAAAAAGTATTTTTCTTTTCGTTTGACAACAAACACCATTCGAACAGTGATGTAAAAAAGAGAACGGACTTCATTTTGACATATATAAATAGAAGAAAAACTATTGTCTCGTGTTTGTATTTGCTACGAAAACAAAATTAAGCATTCAGTTTTATAGTCTGTTAATAAAAACTGGTGAGTTCATGAATTTGGGACGAGAATATCAAGGACGCGGATGGAATGTCCTCGATTAGATTAATCACATGACATTTCTCAAAGTTTGATTGTATCAATATGTACCTTCGTAGGTTTGTGGGCACGTTCGATATGCAATTGATGATTATCTCAGTGTGTAGATAATCCGATAAACGAAGTTTAAAAAGTAGAACTTGATGTTTCATTTTGATCATATCGAAAAGCGAAGTAAAAGATGTAACACATGTGACAATGACCTTTCGATTGTTTTTCTGAAGGTATCGATTATTCTCAATGCTTGACTTGCAGGAAATGAACTTTTCTTCGAAAATTCCGTGATTTTATGGATTCAATGGCGATGGAATAAAACAATTTCGACTCGACAGTCTTCGAAATCGTACAATTGATTCGTTATGAATTAAGTAAAGTTCTCGAGGGGTCTTGATGAAATGTCATTGAATGGCTCTATCGATGTGACCTTTTCACCATCTCTATGAATCTTTGAAAAAAAATTTTCGAAAATTTTGTCGTCTAATCGCATGATGTCACGGAAAAGAAAAACGATTGCTCGAACGGAACAAAAGGTCACTCATCCATCGAATAGGAAACAAAGATTTTCGCTCATTCTTTCGTTCAAAGAACACTTACGACGAGAATGTCTCCTGTTAATCAATAAACGAACGAATGAATGAATGCGAGAATTCTCCATGGAAGACTTGATGATGAACGATGCAGATTGATCAGAATAATCAGTCGTTTTATTTCAACTAATTATCATATTCAATATAATCCTTAAGGTCACACGCACGTACACGTGTAGTTCGTTTATACCATCATGTATATGTTAAGCTTTTTACATTTCGTAGAAACTAAATCCTTAATAACGAACGATTAAAATGTTAGCTTTAAAAACACTCATGGAGTTGACTAATAAAAAAGAGTTTTGTAGAGCTCTTTTGAATATCTTTGGCACTGGGATTCTATTGGGAGTTGGTTTGCTTGATGACAACTTTATCGGGAAAGAAGAACTTTGTTTGTTTGCATATATTTTGTCGATTGATTTCAAGATGAACTCGGTTCTGTTGATAAAATCTGTTCGTTCTAGAGAAATCGCCCGTTGACCGATGTGCGATTAGATCAATGCATACAGAGCGACTTGAGTTCGGTTATCTGAAGAGATTTTTCGAGATCTGCAAATATCAACACGCAAGACTCGTCTAAGAACAGTGGCAATAGCAGGCAAGAACAAAAACATCGTCGACGATGTTCTATTGCAATACATCGTCTTCTCGCTTTCTTGTCATTTCTTTTCTACCCATTTTGTTCACCAGATCTTTCACTTTTTGCCAAAATTGCCTTCGCGCGTGGCCAATTTTTCTCGAATAAAAATCTCCAGCCGATAGAAGACACTTTTCTCTTTCGAATCATGTGCAAGAAGTGGCAAAAAAAGTTTTTCATCTCCCTGAAATTCGTTCAAACTTTACAAATATACATCAACTCTGATCTTGTTCGTTCGATGTTTACGCATTTTTATCCATGTTTGCCTATGCGAAACGATGCAAAATTCATATGAAACGATAGAAAAATGTCTGCTCTATCTGTTAGACTTTGATTCGAAAAACAAATTCGGTAATTTTCATCGAAAAAAACACGATTTGTGGAAGAGGGTTTGAACAATATGTGTAAATATCGAACGACAAAAAGGGTCCTATGTGCGGTTCGAGTCGTTTAGGGAGAAGGAAGGAGAGAAAAAAAGCAACAACGACATCGACCAACATACACTACCACCATCATTCATCGACATCGTTCTCTCGCGCACACACACCCTCAACCTACTCTTTACTTCATATTCATATATACAAATTCATTCACTTCTTAAATAAAATAAAATGACTGATCTTACTGGTCCAGCATCGACATCCGCGAGCGCCTCTCAAGCCGCAACAAGTTCAAGTGCTAAAAAAGGCAAAGGTAACGCAGGAAATAAGGCGAAAAAAGCCAAAACAGCAAGTACGCATCCGAAATTTTCGGCCATGATCAAACAAGCTATTACACAGTTGAATGACCGAAATGGTACATCAAAAGCCGCAATTTTGAAATATATCTTAGCCAACTACAAAATTAACTTCGCCACAGTTAATCAACATCTCAAAGCGGCATTACGTGCAGGCATTAAAAATAAATCGTTGAAACAAACCAAAGGCGTTGGTGCAAGCGGCAGCTTCAAATTAGGTGCAGCAGCTCCAGCAAAGAAGAAATCGTCAGGTGGCAAGAAGAAAGCTTCGTCATCGAAGAAACCGGCAAGTGCCAAACCAAGAAGCCGATCGAAAACACCTGGTGGAAGTAAAAAGGCAGCCGGTAGTAAACCAAAAGCAGCACGATCATCGAGCAAAAAGAAATCTGCTACCGATGCTGCTGGTACAAAACGAAAACGTTCAGCTTCGCCAAAGAAAGCTGTCAAGAAAACCACTGTCGCTGCGCCAGCCGCTGACAATGCAACTGCAGCTGCACCAGCAGCAGCAGCTTCTGCTGCCGCTCCAGCAAGCAAGAAGAAAGCATCGACCGGTGTAAAGAAAGCTAAAACAGGTTAGTTGACGAATCCGTTGAATCGATTGGTCTCATATTACTTTTAATATTTTCAGCTAAGCCAAAATCAAAAGGATCGGCTAAACCCAAATCAGCAGGTAAAGCTAAGAGTCCAAAAAAGAAAGCAGCTACGCCAAAAAAGAAAACCGCTACCAAATCAAAACCTAAAGCAGCCAAATCGAAATCTCCTGCTACTACTGCTACTGCTTCATCATCGTCCTCATCCGCACCCGCTGCGTCTTCTGCTTCAGCGCCAGCATCTGCAGCGAAAAAACCGAAAAAAGCCGCAGCACCAAAGAAAGCCAAAAGCCCAAAAAAAGCAGCGAATAAAAAATGAGAAAATGATGTATATATTCGTTTAACATCTATTTTTTCGTGTGCGTGTGTGTTCATCCTGTAGATTGTACTTTTTTATTTCTCGTTATTGATCGCAGATATGGAGCTCCCTCTCTCGTCTTCTATCATATTTACTTTTGTTTCTATTCGATGTTGTTTTTGTTTCTTCGTTGTGTTTGTAAGGCGTATTATGAACGCCGAGATGACTATTTGCTATTACGATTACTATTATTAGAACTATATTCATGTATTACCCTTC